TACCGACACACCTGGTAAACATAATAAAATTGTATGTTACAGTAACTGTATCAATAGATAATGAAAATGTGAGCATCGACGAAGAAGGACTTGCAACGATGGAAGTTGTGAATTTCTTTAATCAGTTATTTGACTCAGTGAATGGAGACAATAAACACAACGATAATGAACTACGATGTCCAGTGACAGAAAATAGTAAATACCATGCGTTTTGGATGAGTACAAAGAATATATTAAATAATATGTCATATGTCGATAAAGTATTGCGCAGCGTATTAAAATCAGTGCCATCGTTAAGAAACTGGTTATTCACAGTAGACGGTTTTTAGAAACTATAGAAAGTGCTTTACGATAAATTTGAATTTCATTCATTAAATAATTGCGTAATTGCAATCAAGATCCATTAGAAAACTTTTTTGGTTAAATACGAAGTCACGCGGTACGTAATGTTAATCCGACACCTAAACAATTCGAGCAATCTTTTTTAACTTTACTTATAAATAATATGAAGTCTGTTTCAATTAGACTTGGTAATTGTGAGATATCTGAAGATAATTGTTCAATTTATAATATTAATTGTTCTCTTTAGACAAATATTTAGAAAATATAGCAAACAAATCCATTTATAATGATGATGAAGTTCCGGAATTACTGTCAGAAAATAATGTTTCGAATGATATATTTAACGTAGTATCTTTAGATAATCCGGAACATATAATTAGATCTATTTTGAAGGAAGTTAATTTTTGTACAGAGTGTGAAAATAGTCTATTGAGTAGTGAATTTTCAGTTTGCATTAGACAAATTACAGGCATCATTAATAAATTGTTAAAAACTAGAATACATAGAAAAAATATTTTAAAAGTATTGTTACAATTTTTAGAAAATTATAATATTAATAATAAAATTATAATATTAATATGAGTTGGTATGAGTGTGTAGAACATAAAAATATATATAAAATTATAGTACGTGTGTTAGCTATGCAAATTATTATATTATGGTGTGAGGAAAAAAATTCTATAATAAAAAATTCTGATGTAAATATTGAAATACTGCAGCGTATATGTGATCGCGAGTGTTAATAAAATTAAGCAAACTCGTATAAATTTTATAATAGAGCGAAGAAAAAGAAAAATTATTTTAAAAGATTATAAAGATTATATTCACAAAAAACGGCATGTACAATAATATTGTTATATTATTTTTTTAATTATTTAGGTTATATTTATTATTTATATTTAAGTTTTACTTATTATATATAATGTATTTATTGTATTTATTTTTTATATTTATTTATTTTTAATAAGTTGTATACAATTTGTAATTCTATTTTTATTGTATTTCATTTTTGTAATAGTATGTTGAGTGACAATTGTACGATAAAATTATGTATATTTGTATGACTGTGAGTATGAGTAGCTTATTAATAGAGATAGGTAGGTCCTTCTACTCCGATAAATTATCTACCTGAAGAAGTCATGTTTTCCTATAAGAAAGCATGCCTTCAGGTAGTGGTGGAGATAAAATTGGAGGAAAGATGCGAAATTGTAGCGAAAGTAGAATATCGCATCTGAGAAGAAGTGTAGTGGTATGAATGGAATGCTTCTAGGATAACTTCTATAAGCAGTTTGTTATGTATGTTATTATTTTATATTATTATATTTATTTGTAAAGTGTGTATGAATGATTGAATGCTTTTATAATGCGGTTTCTAAGATAACTCCTGTAAGCAGTTTGTTATGTATGTTATTATTTTATATTGTTATATTTATTTGTAAAGTGTGTATGAATGATTGAATGCTTTTATGATGTGGTTGTGCACAAATTATGTGCTTTGCATCATATTTTTAACCGCACCGGATATTTTACATGTTTATATCCGACAGTCCGTAGTCTCCCATACAGCACAGAAACTGCAGCAACATTGTTGTAACATTGCAAAATTGCATATTGCAGTGCAATATTACAGCAAAATTGCAAAAACAATATTGTGCAATATTATTTCTGCAATATTGCAGCTATATTGCAAAGATATTAATTTGCAGTAACAATTGAATATTCGTGAACGAATGTCCTATGCGACGCTAAACGCTTTAACCTCCTCTTTTTACCTCCTCTTTTAACCTCTATTCGTTGATAGATGTTACAAAAAAATTTGGCTGCGATCGTTCAATTTTTAAAGCTTACGGCTTAAATCACCAAATGTTAGACTAGTTAGGGTTAAAGTCGGTCTTAACTCTATGACTCATTGTAAAACCAGCTTGTCGTCATGCTATATCAATATTCTAATTGGTGAAGAAGACCTTGTGCCTCCATCGAATCAGCAGAGACCTGGTCAAGTGATCAGTTTACCACTCTCTCCCTTTGAGGCTCTCTAGCTGGAAGTTGGAATCTCCTTATAGTGTTACGTAGCTGGAGAAAAGGAATATGTAAATACATTTGGTTATTGTAACAAAGACGTTATCGTAACGTCTTTCGATCAAACTGATCTAGATCGCAGTCATATTTTCATCTCAAACGAGAAAGAACGCTTATCGACATATAATGGCAATGTAAATATCGTTTTGCAACGCAATTCACTCCGTAAAATATTACAATTCGTCCCTTAATATTTTATTTAGTCAAGTTGCAGATGACACAAATGTGTGTGTTGAGAAACTGACGGAGCCTTATAACCTTTCTGAAAGGCCTCATTGGAACCATCGTACTCAGAAATTGTATTTTGTCGACCTATATAAGTATATACGTAGACTACACCCTGCAACAGGTGTTGTAAGCAATGCATACAGATAAGACTATATATCTCTTGGGTATTTATTTGGTTTCCCGGATTTCATTTTGAAAATTGATTAGACTATAAGCTATTTCGATTCGCTTTTACACAAAATGAACGAATTTTAAAGAAAAAAGTGTTATTCTACTCAGTAAAGCAATATGATTTTGATCAATATTGCAAATAACGGTATTATTTAGATTCAAGTTGCTATTTAATTATTATTTAAAATTTTATAAAAATAATAATAATATGGTAATGATATATATTTCAGAAGCTGTTCGTATATCCTACAGCGCAATGACAGGCAACGACTATGCGGAATATGTATCGAAATGGCTTGCACAAGCGATTGTACGGATTTCAAGGCAAAAAATTGGAGAAACGGTGGCTCATGATTAACAATGATATTATCATTTAATATAGTATTTTTATTAATAGTTTTATTAATAGTATTAATATAATATTTTTCATTTATATGTGTTCCTTTTACATATTATGTGTTCATAATTTTTTATAGTTCTCTGATGTTTTTCGTTTATTTTTTCCTACCAAAGTAGATAAAATACTTTATTTATGTTTTATATACATATGTTTATATTTTGTTACGAACACCATTATGTATGTGCACCATTTAGTATATTAACTAAAGAAGCAAATTTTTATTTAATATTAATTGTTGTAACATACTTTTATAAATAAATAAATATATATATGTGTTATAATTTTGACTTATTAATAGTTACAATACTACTGCGATTGCTGTTTAACATAATATCTATACTATATAGTATGTGAGTCTAATAACTTGCAATTATGATATCCTACGTAATACAGTTAATTTCTACAGATATCTTGTGGATATCAAATGACAAAAATACTTCAGTATATTATGACAATATTCAAATATCCGCTTTTTATTACATTTTATAACAAAATATAACATTGACGTAATTGTTATATTTCGTTTTAGATGTAATAAAAAACGGACTTTTAATATCGCAATAATGTTATACTGACAATTTTGCCATCTGCTAGTATCTGTGGAAAAAAAATTAACACATAATTATGTTATATGGAATTGTATAATTACAAAATGTTGAATACATGTTTTAGACACACGCACACGCAATGCACATGCGCGCACACGCGCGCACACACTCGCGCGCACACACACACACACACACACGCGCGCGCGCGCGCGCGCGTATATATGGGCATAATAGCTGTAACTTTATTGCATATATACTATATAACATTGTTATTGCAATATTACAACAGAATGTTGCTGTATTATTGCAGTATAATATTGCTGCAGTATTGCAGTACAATATTGCTGCGCATCATTGCAACGCAATATTGCTGCAAGCGGACATTTTAATGTTGTTGCAATATTGCTGCACCATTGCAGCAACATTTTGTAATGATGTTGCAATGATACAATCTTGCAAAACAAGATTGCTGCAATGTTGCTGAAATCTTTCTGTGCTGTATAGGCTGTTTAAAGTGGGACGGGAAAATGTTATGTAAAGCATTTGGTATATGAATTACATTATATATATATATATATAATATTTATATCTATATATATATATAATATTTATAATTTAGCAATACATGTAACATAATTTAACATTATAATATTATTATTTTTACTACTTTTTTTCAAATAGTTTACTTATTATATTTACTTGTTAATATATATTTTGTTATATTTTAATTTTTGTACAACAAAAAACTAATAAAAAAAATATGTAATTATATCCTATTTTAATGTAATTAAATGTATAAATGTATATATTGATAAACATCTTTATGTGTATTGTAATATATTTTAATAATATAATATTAACGTATAATATATTGATTATAATCTTCCCAATAATATTGTTTGCACAAATTAATAACATAAAGTGATAAGTTTCTGAGCGGTGTTGTTAAGTTTAATTGTTATTTACTGTACTTAAGATTACAAGTGAAAACTATTTTAAATTTGTGAAACATTTTTGACGTAGTCTTAAGTAACGTAAATAACATTTAAACTCTACAATAGCGCTCAGGAACTTGTAAATTTAATTTTAATATCTATAAGTATGTACCACCGTGCGCGATATGGTTTAAATATGGCGGCAACCTCCCCACCACTCGTTTTTTAGTTTGTTATTTCCGGGCTGGTGCTCCAGGTGGCGCTGAAAATAGCGTTCCCTTCTCACAAGAGGTGAGTTTGAACCCCCTGCTTTCGTTTGCGTTCATTGGTTCTAATCTCTCGTATGTGTGTAATGTGTAGTATCACATAGTGCTTCACTTTTAAGTTTATGAGATTAGCAAGAAATACGATTTCGCAGACATTTGTTTAGTCGTAAGTATTGTGATATTCTTGTTATTTTTCGAATAAGGAGCTTTGCTAAACGTTTCTATAACGATCAGGTTTTTTATTCTTAAGGACAGCAACATTCATGGCGGCTGATACCGTACGAATTTATACATGGTATTACTGAATTATTATTCCTTTAATTTTCTATGTTCCTTATTCTGGTATTCCGTTGCTACATTAATGATACTCGACGATGTTTCATTAAGAGAAAAACGTCGTATAGAATATAAGTAAAGGATTATTGTATCAGACTTAAATAGGAAGAGAAAAATTAAAAAGAAAAAGCGAAAGTTATATATTATAAAATTTTCTACATTATTTTATAGCTTGTAAAATATAATTTGTATATTTTGGAGATGTTGATTCAAAATGGCCTCTTTTGTCAATGCAGCCTCTATTCAATAAAAGATTAGGATTATTAAACAATTATATAAAATTAGACCTAGAAAGAATTTAAATTTGGCCCAGAATCCAACTTATTATTCCTTTTCATTTGTATATAAGACAATACATTGACATGGAAGATCAATAAATATGCCCTCGTACTTGACCTAACATAACTATACTCTAATAAGCATGTTGTGCTCGACATGTTACATGTAGGAGAGAAAAGAGAGATAGAGATAGATAGGTAGATAGATAGAGAAGTAGATAAATAGGAAGGGGAAAAGAGAGAATTATTCATTCATAATTTTGTTTGAATCAATATATTAGATGAAAAAGTCAGATGTGTTGAGAAATACTTCACATGCAACTACTATGAGATAATAATTCTGAATTTTTATCTGCAGGATGTTCAATAAATTGTGGTACAACCAACAGCAGGACGAGACAACGTACGAAGAAACAGGTACAGAATGTACAAATTTTTGTTATGATTATTATTATTACTTATATGATTTTTATGAGGACAATGATTTCAAATCCAAAAGTGGTGTGCATATTTATATTGTCCTTAAGCGCATAATCACATATTTATGTTGTCCTTTTATTTATTTAAAATGAGTAAAAGGTAGTATTTGTATTTCTTTTTAAAGTAACTCCACACAAAGAAGAAAAATATTACTACTAAATATTTAAATTGGAATACATTACATCTTTATTAGTTATTAGTTATATTGAATAGAGTATACTTTGGATAACAATATTCTTTGTACATGATTATATCAAAAAAGATATATCAGATGTCATGTATGTTATTATATTGTAACTGGGTTATTCATATGGCAGATATCACACATGTATTGATATTATAATTAGAGTTAATCATATATTCAATTTTACATATGTATGAACAAGATTAAAAACTTGCGAATATTATAGCAAGGTTGAAAATTGTAGGAAACAAGTTAAAACATGTGACATTTAGTACACAATTTTTAACCTTATATATTACATCTGCACAAAAACGTATCTGCTTAAGGATGATAATTGTAGGAAACCCTGATTAATGATGGTATTAAGATATACACAATACTTGATATACAATATATGCACATTTTTTATTCAGTATATTGAATATAGCAAATGTAAAAAAATTGGCCATTTTGTGCTGAGTATGTTAATTTTACATCAGTGCTACATTGGGCTTATTTATTTACAACAATACAAGTATATGACTACTATATTATACAATGATATGATTCGAAAGATCTTTATATCCTGTTATTTATTCAGAACGTTCGATTGCGTCTATAGAACTTACGAGTACTAAATTATTTAAGCAGTCGAGCGATCTCTCATCTGTTCGATCTCCTTTACAACCAAGCTGCTATGCGAAATATACGCCGCACCATTTTCTGTCCCACTGTGAATGCACGGCGTATATACCTGTGGTATACATAATGTAAATTAAATCTGATATAAATATGAATATATTAGAGTGATTGCAACAATTTAATTTAGGAGAATATTTTGCGGTTGACCATCGAAAAAAGGTGTTAAAAAAATACACAAATGGGCGTTCTTCGATCATTTCTTTCTTATCGCGAATCTTCAGAGAGACTCCCCTGCTTGAATTATCAAGATTATTTTATATGTTTACATATTACCTGGGCGATGTATTTATGAAAAGTTACACCTCGTCGATACTCCGATTCCTGAGTATATTACAGAAGTTAGAATTTACTGAGTAATCCGCACTTTGAATGTTGTTGCTCCTGTTGCGAGATATGTCACTGTAAGGTAACTCGAGCTTTTGAGCTACCTGATTTAACTCAATCTTGGGTTGGATTGAATTAAATATGGGAATTCAGTGATGTATCTTAGCGAGTGGAAGTGACTACACAATGATGTAGCGTGCTCAGTACTTTATTCTGTATAGTATACCTCAAAGTTATCCACGAGATGTAAGTCTTTATGAATAATCACTATTATTTATGTGTGATTTATTTATCATTACAAGTCGTTCACGAAATTTGAATTGCACGATTTACAATGTATCACAATCTAAATTACATAATATATGTGATTTTGCGAGTATACATACAATCCACGAACAACAATCTGTGATGTGTATGTATATACATATATATATTTTTTTTATTAAGTACATATCTTTACACTTATCTACGATATAACAACGATATAATTCCGCTGTGAACCTTCAGCGTACATCTTGACGCATTTTACTCGTTAACATTTGCAAGCGTAATTCGACCGGACGCGTCGAAGCGATGCAAAGATTTTGTTAACACGTTCGTCTCGACTTGTTGCAAACACGCGACTGCAGACACCAAGCAGATCATGCACTTAGAAGAGAGATTCTCTCATGAACGAAGTCTTTAATCACCGTGATCACTCCTTGCTACATGCGTTGTATTCTTTTGAAATCAACATTGAACAATTGATTGGTTGTATCACGGAGATTTCCGTCGCGCTACACATATCGCCTGCGATTTCCTGTAATAGCGTATGTAAATTTTCTCTGAACACGCAAAATAGCGTCCGAACGGGCTGCGGCCTTTAAGAGACTAGCGCTTGCTAGCCCGACCCAGGATTTGCGAAATGCAAAATTGGAACCAATGGCAGTTGCCAGCCGGTGCTGTTACAACTCCAGTGCCGCAGCCACCACTTGGTTACGCTGCAGCAACAACACCAGTCACGGATCCTATGGCCCTGATGCAAAGCTATATGCAATATTACAATCAACCAGTAAGTATGTATAATTTTATATATTGTTTTTATACACAGAGTATACTTATGTAAAGTATACTTATACTTATTGTATTGTATTATACGTATGAGGTACAAGTATATTATTATATTTTATTGTTTTCTTACATATGAAGTATATTTATGTATTTGTTGTATAGAATATAAGTATATTTATAGTATGGTATGTATAGCATAAGTATATATAGTATAAGTATATATAGTATGATATATATTTTTACCAATTTAGGATTACTAATATTGGGTGAAGTAAAAAGTTCTGAGCGTTTTTTCTCTTTATTTCGACGATGAAATTAACAAAGTTAGGATTATCGGATTTAGATCAAATATGCGCCGTTTTGTTCGATAACTTTTGTCCATTTTGAAGGCAATTTCATAATTCCGCGATTGAAGAAGTCCTCGTCCCTATTGGTAAAAAACTTGACCAGCTCATTTTCACAAGCCTCTCTTGAAGCCAGTTTTGTACCATCGAGAAAATTTTGCAAATGCTTGAAAAGGTGATAATCGCTTGGAGCCAGGTCTGGGCTATACGGCGGGTGCGATATAACCTCCCATCCAAGCTCTCGGAGCTTCTGGCGCGTCGTCAAAGATGTGTGCGGCCTGGCATTGTCTTGATGGAACACAACACCCTTCCTATTGGCCAATTCTGGCCGCTTCTTGTCGATCGCCTGCTTCAATCTGGTCAGTTGTTGACAGTGTAGGTCCGAATTGAGTGATTGGCCCGATGGGAGCAGCTCATAGTGGATGATTCCCTTCCAATCCCACCAAACACACAGTAAAACCTTCTTAGCCGTTAATCCGGGCTTGGCGATCGTTTGGACCGGCTCACCGCGCTTGGACCACGATCTTTTTCGCCTGTTGTTCTCGTATGTGACCCATTTTTCATCGCCAGTCACCATCCGCTTAAAAAATGGGTCGATTTCGTTACGCTTCAGCAAAGAATCGCAGGCATGAATTCGGTCCAAAAGGTTCTTTTGCGTCAATTCGTGTCGCACCCATACATCGAGCTTCTTCTTGAGACCAGCCTTATGCGAATGGTTCCAAACGGTTTTCTGGCTAATCTTCAGTTCCTGGGCAATGGAATAAGTGCTCGCATGCCGGTCCGACTCGACGATTTCCATGATTTTACCGACATTTTCGACGATTGGCTACCAGAGCGTCTCATCTTCGACGTCCATATTACTAGAACGGAATCGTTGGAACCACCGCTTTGCTGTTGCATTCGATACTGTATTGGGTCCATAAACAGCATACATTTTTTTGGCCGCCTGCTCCGCTTTTTCCCTTTGGTCGTAGTGGTACTGAAGAATGTATCGAATTTTCTCTTTTTTTACCTCCATTTTGGAACGCTCTAACACACAACTGGCTTCACCAAACACAAAACTATCAAAGAACTTTTTTTAAAGCGTTATGTTACCTTTAAGTCGCAGTATAGAATGACCAGATGCGACGTATACATCGTGAAATATGACCTCACTAAAGCTATCTAGCGGAAAATGCTCAAAACTTTTTACTTAACCCAATATTATTTATTACTCTGATTATTTATTTTTATCTTATTTATCTTATTTTATTTAGTACACAGTAACTTTTTGCTAGTAAAAGATTTAAGATTGTTTAAAGTTAAACGAATCGCATTTTGTTCCTGAAAGTTTTAATAAAATCAATTCTATTGATATTAATTAAAAATAAAGTCTTATTATCTGTAGTAATTAATTAATTATAGAGACAGCAATCACTCTGTAATATTAATATAATTTGTACAGGATATCGAAAAAGATATAAAAAGCAAATTTTAAAAAACACATTTAAATGTACATTATTATAAGAACAAGTATATGTTATAACGATTAGATTATAACAAACATATTTATTTCTTTATTTTTATTAGGCGCCTAGTGGATATACTCCGGAACAATGGGCAACTACACAACAGCAAGGTTGGGCTCAGTGGCAGCAATGGCAACAACAGTATCAGCAATGGCAAGCACAATATGGGGACAAGGTATAATATACATAATATGTAAGATGTATTTGGGCTTTTATATTGATCATTTTCCATTTGATTTGTCAAATATAAACATGCTTAAAAGGTAAAAGAATTAATCTATATTTGCAAATCGTAAACATCTGTTAATAATATACTGTTGTTGATGTTTTGTTCTAAACAAAAGACAAAATTAAGAAAATCTATGCTTAAAAAAGTGACTGTGGATTTCCTAAATAAAAAAGTGTACTGTACAGCTAATAACAGTTGTTACTGAAAATCCTTTCGAAATCATGTATATCTCGTTTTCAATTCCACTTGATTAACACTTTGATGGCCGCTGTCACGTATATATGATTTTGCGAGCCCATTAGTTACCAGCCGCTGTCACGCTCACGTGATTTTGCTTTGCCGCTTGCTGTTAGTATTATTATATTGTTAAAATTTAAAATATAAAGATATATTCAACGCAGTTTTTTTATAAAATACCGAGAAAAATTAAGTAAAAAGTGCCGGCGTTAGAGGGTAAGACTTACGCGAGATATACCGGCGTCAAATGACAGTCAACGAACAAAATGTGCGACCATCAAAGTGTTAATTCGCCCATATCTTTTATTATTCCACGCAAGTACACGAACTCGATTTCTATTGGATGATCTTTCCTTTCAGTATCAAGAGACGATGAAGCATCTATCGGCGCAGAACATAAATTTGGCAGCGAGCCAAGTGCCGCACATGCAACCGCCGCCACCGCTCCCCAAAGAAGACACAGCACGACCACCCCCATTACCGCCCGTTTCTGCGGGTACAACACATCATCAGTTCACCAACGTGCCACCCCCGCACCAAAACAATCTGCCCTTATTCCCCACGAAAGAGTCCACTACGACGAGCGCGTTGCCGCAAGCGAGCGTGACTAACTACCCTCCTCCGAACCACCAACAGCCACCACCACCCTTGCCTGGCGCGAGCCAGCAACAGCACTCGCCACCCTTGCCACCTGAAACCGAGAGCAGGCGAGAGCCTCCAGGAGGGCAGGCTGAGAAACGTAATAACGATAATAATGTTAGTGCGGTCGATGATAGCGAGCCGAATAGTGGCAGTAGTGCGAAAAAGTTGAAGCTCGATGAGGACGAAGAGCTAACTGATGCTGAGAAAACGTTTGACGCGCAATTCAAACAGTGGGAAGAGCAGTTTAACAAGTGGAAGCAGCAAAACGTGAATCATCCCGACAAGGTAAGTGTCTGTAAGTATTTATTCTCATACGGCGTACAGGGGATTTTTTGAATTTTGCCAAATAATTCAAATGGTCCAAATTTCGTGATAAAATGTTTGAGTCCGTGCATTCACGGAAACAAACTTGTTCGTAATTTTTAATGTAAGTTTTAGAATGCATCCGCCTTGTCCAGTAGGAGAATTCGTTCATTAAAAAAATTCTCCCATTGGACCTAGATAGATACATTCTGAAACTCACACAAAAAATATAAACAACTTTTCTGTCCACGATCGTATGTAGATGACATAATGTCCTTAACCTTACGTTTATCTGTTTCCAGTTGTTAGACCTTCGATCATACTTTTCATTTTTACACATTCGCACATCATGACTGTTGATCATTCGAGGAAACGACAACGATCTATCTCGAGTATTTAGACAAAGCTGCATTTATATAATATAACGTGAAACATGAAATCACATATTTGAGATTTTTGCGATATGAATATGTGTCGGATTTAGTTTTCGAGGTCTTGAAGGTATTTTTTTGTATATTTATTTCTAATATTTCGTGGATATTTATTTTTAATATTTTGTATTTTAATTCATCATAAAGAAACAGCCTGACGAGCAGCCCTATTGAGTCACTCCTTAGTAGATAATATCTTTTAAATCAATAATATTTGATTAATTAAGAGAAGAAGAGTGCACGAGAGAGAATAGAGAGAAAATTTGATTGATCAATCGGATATTTAAAGAAAACCATTATCCATTCTTTATCGAAGAATAGATAAGAGAAATATTTCCTTATTTATAAGAGAGATATTAATATTTTATTAATATAATTCTTTCCTCTTTTTTTATAATATCTTGTTCATAAGGTTGTCCCTCCTCGATGGATATGAATTGAGATATTCACGAAATGTTTGAAACAAGAAGAATCTATTTCAATCCAGAAGTTAAATCTCGCGTGTAATTTCAATACGTAATAAAATTACACATGAAAAAAATAATACATGAAATATCGTTGCAACTTCCTCGAATAATCAACCGTTATTATGTACGAATATGCTGATACGATGCAGATGATTCAGAAATTCTGGCAATCTCCATTATAAATTTTTAAGACTATATCGCCGCTCTATATAGAAATTTCTTTTTTCTCTCTTGAATCTAAAGAATCACAGTTAAGAAAGAACCATAGAAAAGAACTGCAGTTCGAACCACAATGATTATTATAATGACCACGAATATTAAATGATACATATCGCAAAGGGAACGAAGCACAGTCGTTCCTTTCTCGTTTGCAATGAATAATATCCATACTTTTCAGACTCAGTATAAACAATATGAAGCTAAATGGACGTCGTGGCGCGAGAAACTGCTCGAACGACGCGAGCAGATGCGTAGGAAACGCGAACAGCAAAAGCAGGCATCTGCGGCGAAGGCAATAATAGTTGCGGAAACAGCGGACAAGAGCAAGAGCGTTATATCTGGTGACGACAAGATACTCAACTTGCTATCGAACACAGAAAATCAAAGTTTGATCAATAATCTACTCGGTATCGGCAAGACTCTTGGTTTAACAGGCAAGCAGCAGAGCGATGTTGCTCCCACTGTACCGTCTCTGCCACCACCACCTCCGCCACCACCGGAGTCCTCGAATTCCGGTGCGAGCATCCCGGCTCAAGTTGTACAGCAAGCTCCGCCACAAGCTGTACAGCAAGCTCCTCCACCGCATTCTGTGCAACAAGTTTTGCCGCAAGTTCCGCTACAGCAGAATATGATGGGCTCGAACGTTGCAATGCCATCGCTGCTACCATCTTGGCCTAATCAGCAGCAATGGGACAACAATCAGCAATACAATCCCCGAATGGAAGCCCCGTATGGTATGCTACTTCCCACCATACACCATTTTCCTGCGCCGTCGTTTGCCCACTCAGTTATGTCGCCCAACTTCGCACAGCCGCCGCCGAACTTGTTGAACAACAACAACGGTCCGCCACCCAATTTTTCGCAACCACCTCCGAATTATCCGCCCAATAACAATCCAGAATGCTCGGTTACTCTACAGAACGCAGCCAGAGGTCCAGCGAGCGGGCAGGAACCACTGAACGCAGATATGATGCGTTTTGCGCGCCATCCTGCGGACCGCGGCAATAACTTCGATAGTGGACAGCAGTCTAATTTCCTTCGAAGAACAGGCGAGCCTCCTGATCATCGTTTCCTTGCACGTGGAGACGGTGTGGCTAATTCGAGCGGGAATGAGCAAGATCAGTTCATGAGGCCTGGCGATCCGGTTTTCAACAGACCGAATGAACCCTTCAACGAACGTGCCGATGCACAACAGCAACGGTTTCGAAGAGGAGACCGAGGTTTCTCAGCTGACTTGGGTAATAATTCACTTAATGGATCGATGAATTTCCACCCCAATAATGAAGCACGTTTTGGACCGTCGATGAACGAGCGTTTCGCTGGAGGGAACAATCGATTTGGACAGAAGGGAAACGACAGATTCCCGCCGTTGAGTGACCGACCGTTCGTGTCGGAACATGATCGATTTGGCGGAGGTGAACGATTCGCAGGACCGGAAACTGATAGATTCGGCAGAGGAGCTGGAAAAGAGCATAGATTTGATCGACCGGACAATGAACGATTTGGGCCGAACGATCGTTTCGAACGATTTCCTGATCTCAAAGATCGCTTTCCTCAGACCAATGATCGATTTGGACCCAACATGAACGAACACGTTGGCCCCAACGATCGCTTCAATAGGGGCAACAACCCAGCAGACTGTTTTGATCCAAAGGACGCAAATGATCATCGACGAGATTCTTTCAGCGGCAATTCCCGGGTATTTGGCAGGAAATCGGGCTTTAGTCCGCCGAAGGAACTACCGCCAGAGTTACGTAAACTAATGGAAAAACGAAAGGCTGCTTGTGATGTATTCAAACCTAGCTTTCTTCCAGACTCCGAGAAAACTAGCGTCGGTTCTCTCAGCGAAAGCTTTAAGAAGATCGCCGGCGACTCGCCGTTTCGCAGCAGTTTTGATTTTCCGAAAATTCGACCATTCGGTCCTCCCGGTGGGCCACCGTCGAGCGGTTTCTCTTTCATACCCGGTGGCAAATCACCACCTCCGTTCCAGCCCCACCCATTCGCTCCTAATTCCGCCACGCCGTACGATCATCATTTGCGAGGTGCTGGTCATCCCTTCAGTAGCAACAACAACGTGCATGACGACGAACTTTCCGTTCCGTTTATTCCCGGCTTGAGACATGGACCTTTCACAGATAATTTCCCTAAACATGGTGGTCTTGCGAATTACAATGAACGGACAATGGAGAAAGATATGGAGGACAATTTGCAGGACCCTAATCCTAACCCTAACTCTAATCAGCAAGCTCAATCGACCAATAACCAATCTCAGTCTCCTGCTAAATATCTTGCAAATACTGAGGCCGATATCAATGTCGAATCCTCGAATAATTTGGAGACCGATAATGTTCCAAACATGAAAGATGCGGAAATGACGCAGCTGACAAACGAGGCCGATGGCACAACCGTCGAACAAAATAATAATCCAGTTATGATAGACGACCCGACGCTAAAAAGCGCCGATAACGAAGAAGGAAACAAAGTATCCAGCAATGACGACAGTTCCCAGCAGCCACAGCAGCAGGAGCAAGAACAGGATAACAATTGCGAGGAGAAACAAAATATAGAAAGCAACATCGACGATAAAGACGAAAGCATCCAAACTAAAAAGTCCGAAAGTCTGCCCTTCATGGGCGAGAACGATCCGCCGCCTGAGGATTTGAACATCGAGCCGCCACCAGAGCTTCCCAATTTGGGACCTGTTCTTACTAATCCGAATTCCGGGCCGCAGGACACCGTTGGGCCGTTCAATGAACCTTTCGACGGGAAAGGACTGTTGGAATTGCCCAGCCATTCAGCGAGTGCTGGTCAATTCCACGACATGCGGCTACGCGAAACGGAATTCCCCAGAATGGGCGCACCCTTCAAGTTTCCAGGGCCGCCGCCACTGTCAAATCCATTGTTAAATCCCAGATTTCAACGTCCAAGTGCGTTCCAACCACTAAGTCATGGCGACAATGCGCAACTGGGTCCCAAAGATGGGCAGTTTGGGTTTAATACACCCGGCGATTCTGGACGATTCAGTCCCAAAAGGCCCAACGACGAACAGTATCCCAAGCGAGATCGTAGTGATGATTCACCGAGCGAGAATCCTCGAAATCCTAACAGCGGATATTTCGGGCTTATGAATGAGCCATTCGGTGGTCCACGACCCATGTTTGGAAAATTTGGGCCGAGAGCGCCTATGGACTCGCCTTTCGCTCCACGAAACCCTGGCCCGTTCGGGCTCAGGAGCAACATTCCGCCATTTGGACAGCGAGGGGGACCTAGCGATATGTATCGACATCCCAACGACGAACCGCAATTTAGCTTCTTGGGGCCTAATAACAACAATAGATTCGGTAAGCCGAATGAAGCACCGTTCAATAGACGATGGCCCAATGAGGGGCCGCCAGCAATCGGACCTCGAGGTCCCAACGATAGCATGTTGGGTGGACTTCGCGTCCCTCCTTTGGATGCTTTCTCTCAAGGAAGACGTAGTCCGAAAGCTTTCAATGAGAACCGTTTCGATTCACGGGATTTTAATGACGGTCCTTTTGGATCCGACTTTAAAGACAAACCCCTCGCGATCAAAGGTCCGATGGGCGATCCAAGTTGTATACGTGATTATATGAACAGAAGTGGTAACTACATCAGAAGAGAACAACAGTTTAAGGACGACAAGCGACAGTTCGACAGTTCCGACGAATCGTTCGATAGGAATACAATGGACACGACGGAGCCGTGGAAGGATAATGTTGACTACACTAAACGTAAGCCCCCGCTGCAAGACCCTTTCAAGAAGGAATTTGACGATGCTAGGACGAGGGGCAACTTTAATGACGACCAATGCACAAGTATCGATAGAAATCCATCTAACGTCGCTCAATTCGACGAAAGATCGAAATTGGAAACAAAGGTTATAAACTACAGTGGTAGTAACGAAGCAATAAACCTAGATCGATCCAAATTCCACGGGTCCACTTTGTTCACGCAACGTCCTCAGCCTGTGTTATCTGCAAGTGGCGGTGAGTTTTGCGCATCGCGACAGTTCAATTACAATCACGGCGAAGTCAGCAGTGGTGGCGAGAAGGTTGTCGAGTATACACCGTCAAAGGTGATCGATTATGAGCATATGTCAAGACCGACAACCGTCGATCAGCATCTGCCGCCGCCGGTTCAGTGTTTCGATTATTCTCATGGCGAATCGAAACCGGTGGAGCGCTGTTGGGACCAGCAGCAGCACCAGTCAAGAAACAGTCGAGAAGATTCTAGAAATTGGGTGGAGAACGAGCAAAGCATCAAAGATTACGTGGAGAAAATGAGGAGTTCCTACGAGAACATGAAGAAAGAGAAGATGAGAAGCGCCGGTGGCTACAACTACGAGAAGAGCGGCTACGAGGCACGCAGGTTGGATTATACGAAGCAGCGGAAGGAACATCACAAGGATTGGCAGCAACATCAGCAGCAAGCGAGTGATAGAAGACCATGCGGAGAACGAGAGAGAAGGGACAGCGAGGATCGCAAGGAGAGATCGTCGGTGTACGACTCTCTCGAGGAACAACGATTGTTCTTTGAACGCGATTCGAGCACAAATGATGGTCAGGGCGATCGAAACGTTCGCAGAGGTAACTGAAAAATTCGTTAAATCATTAAACCATTAAGAAGCTCGGCGACTCATAAATAGTCGTCGTTCGAGATTCACAGAAGCTATCTGTTAATCCATGAATCAAAAAGAAACGAGAAACAGTCGTCGGCAAGATATATTTCATAAATTTATTTTGTCGAGGACGTAACCGCATTGTTGCCTACGCTATAAAGAAGTGTGAGAGGGAAAATTCTTATGTCTTGCATCTTATTTCGCATTTAACGTAATATACACGAATGAATTATGAAGTATCGCAAGGTAATCGGTTCTTTTCTTATGTTGAGTGTGTTTCAATGTGTTTATTTTTTCATGTACGCAGAGCGGGTTCAAGAGACGTGCGAGACTGTCCGAAGGGAAACGAATAAAGACAGTGATAAAGACGACAGCAGGTACAGTGACAGATTAATTTTCATCTTAATTTTTATGCAGGGCAATGAAAGAACATGCTCTCTCGCGTTTTATCCTTGATGGATAATTCGCAGGAGGGAAATATATTGCTGTGCAAAGTGTTCTAACGGAGTATATTACTTTTATTTCGTACTAATATATCATACGAAAGTCCACTGGCACAGCAACATTTCTTCTCTGCGTAAGATTCTTCCAGGAAGGACAAGGTTCGCAAGAGAATGTCGCTTTCACTTGCTGCATATGCTACTGAGGTCTTCAATTTCACTTGAAAGATCAACATGTGTACAAGACTTGCAGTCCTATTATAGGGAATCCAGTTCTATTTGTTGGGTGTAGAAAATCATGACATCGAAAATTTGCAACCAGATTCGTTATGTCTGAATATTATTTATGTATTATGACTGTTCAGTAATTATGTTCTCAAGTAGCCCATCTATCACTATCTGTCTTAGTCTGACAGGTTTACGTATAACTTATATGGCGCAAAAGATGTATACAGAGTGTCCCATTTTAATGTCCCACCTCAAATAACTCTTCAGTATTGAAGTTTCAAGGAAAATGATCTGAATAAAAGTTGTAGGGATTTAAGTGAGCTATCTTATGATGACCTTGACTTTGACCTTGACCTCTATTTTCAAGGTCATTTGAAGGTCAACTTGCGTTTTTTTATGGGAACCCTTTTTTAAATGGGAATCCTTATTTTTTATTACACTGTTTTTTTCTACTAGTTAATTTGAACAACTTTTGTTTGACTAAAACATTCTTTTATTTGTCTAATATTTTTAAAGATATTTGAAGAAAACTTGATAACTTTTTCAATATTTAACTTACGATATCTCGCTAACTATTTGTCGGAAGAAAAGTAGTACTAGACTTTCTTGCTTTATTTAGTCTCAAGAATATATTGTTACAATAGCGCCTTGACTTTTGTTAACTTATTGATTTTTGGAAATTTCAAAATCATTAAATTAACAAAAATCAGGGCGCTATTGTAACAACATATTCTTGAGACTAAATAAAGCAAGAAAGTTTAGTACTACTTTTTCTTCCGATAAATAGTTAGCGAGATATCGTAAGTTTATATTGAAAAAGTTATCAAATTTTCCTCAAATATCTCAAAAAATATTAGGCAAATAAAAGAATATTTTACACAAAAGTTGTTCAAATTAACTAGTAGAAAAAAGCAGTGTAATAAAAAATAAGGGTTCCCATTTAAAAAACGCAAGTTGACCTTCAAATGACCTTGAAAATAGAGGTCAAGGTCAAAGTCAAGGTCATCATAAAATAGCTCACTTCTTCAAATCCTTACAACTTTTATTCAGATCATTTTCCTTGAAACTTCAATACTGAAGAGTTATTTGGGGTGGGACATTAAAATGGGACACCCTGTATAATGTTGATGCTCCGAGCAATACTTTATTAGTGATTTATAACGAAAGGTGATGCTCCGAGCAATACTTTATTAGTGATTTATAACGAAAGGTGATGCTTACGAACAATTTCTCGGATATCCAAAAATTATCATAATAAGAAGAAATTTAACGTAAGCAAACAAAAGAGGTAAATAACAATAAGCAATCTTGTTTATTATGACGACTTTTAGATATCCGAGAGATTGTCCATAAGCATTATTTCTTCTTGTTGGAACTGGTTAGTAGAAAGTCGAAGTAATTGTATCAATATTACATATATTTTTCGCGTTATGCAAGTTAAACATAAAACTGTGAAACTGACAGATGGTAATAGGTCGACTGCTTTAGAATATTATTGCCGATTTATCGGATAATCATCATGTGTATTTGAATAACCAAAAATGATGCATCTGGTTGAAAATTTTCGTTGTCTACTGTGCATAGGGAATGGAATTGCGTTAATAAAATCTTGTGTACCATATAGCTACAAAAAGATATTATAAACGATCTCTCATCTATCTGAACATATAACGTATATGACATTCTTCAGATCGAAAGGAAGTGTTCATTGGCAGGAGAACTCGAACAAGAACACTGTAGACGCGAAACTACCAGACACCAGGTATGTGTTGTATTTCCACTTCTTGAGAATTTATCGCAAAAGTTGCGATCTAAAACAATTTATCTGATGAATTTCTACCTTTTGCATATAGATGCACAGATACATCTAAGACATGCAATTGTTCTCTTCTCAAATGCGACTGTTTTCTCTTTTTTTACATTAGTCGATTCTTACCTTCGTTCTACGTGTGAAAATGTTGATGTTTTTGCATGTGAAATGATGCGTTCGGAATCGATTCGTGTAAAAAAAAAATATATATACATGTGTATATATTTGGTTCTGTAAAAAAGAAATTTCAGTATTTTTTTTCGAAAGTTGGGAGACGATTATATTTAAGTCCTTGACATGCGATTCAAATGAAAATTGTGATTTCTATGCTAAACAACTGTGATCCACTTGTGTATGAACTTGGAAAAGTTCATATATGATGTTTTTATTAATGAAAAAAAATATTGTCCAACGAATTCTTATTACATATATTACGATTCTTATACATATATGTGTTTAATCTGTCGCTGATTATTTTTTAAATGTATACTTCTTTAAGTACGTTTTTGTACTTGTACATTTTACACGTGCATACGTATTATTTTACAAAATCTAGAAGATCGTGTTTATATATTTATTATGTATTTAAGATGTATATTTGTATATGTGTGCTCTGTTATATTGAAAGAGCCTTTGAGATTCAATGTGACTCACTTTTCGGTGTTCCATTATATTTTAGTATGGTATTCAGGTGAAAAACAGTACTTGTTCACTCGATCTTTTTCGGGGTAATTTTATATCAGAGGAAAAAGAAGTTACAAGTATGCGCAAAAAGACGTTCAATATATTGATACAAATAAAAATCACGGTAAACCGATACAAAATGTTTTGCAATGGTGTGTGTTTTCCTATTTTTGGTGTAAAATTATCCCAATGAAAGTGACAAACTGTGCGATTTCCTTATCCACTTGTCCACAATTTCCTTATCCACACTTTCCTTATCCATTGTATGTGTGTATGTATATATTATGCCCCCATAAAACCATAAATATTTTTTATTCATTTTGCCGAAAACTATCAGATTATAGTAGTTTTCGGACACTTGTTGTAATAATGCATCCATCATTTTTGGGGATGAAGCATTCTTTTCTAATATTTTATTATTATTCGTAATAGGATGCTCACAGTATGCAACTCTATCACGGGTTTTGTATTACAGAATTTACTCTGCCTATATAATGAAATTCTCATACCAGTATGAAATTTTACACGACCATCTATACTTTTATACTGTTGCTTCGAAATGCGGACATGCCGGTTCAAAGCTTTATTTTACTTTATTATAGATTACATTTATTTACGTTTTCTATTATCTGTGCGCATTATTACAAAGAAATATAATTAAGGTCTTTTTATATTATACAGAGTGTCTTACGCAAAATAGCCCAGCAGTCGTGTGCTCGAGATAGAACGGATTAAAAAGTAACACAGTCTGAGCAGAGAAATCATTTTCTATTTTTTAAACAATCACGTAAAATTTCGTATTCCGTTAGCAGAAGAAAACCAAAATAAATCAGCGCATGTGAGACGCGATTGCAGAAAATGATGGATGACTCGCGCAATTGTTTCGTATCAATATCAGGTGCTACAACAAATGATTTTCTATTCCACTCGCATTTTTTCTTCGCTTTATGTTATCATCTACTACTAATCGTTATTAAGGAATAATCACGCGGTCAGCCATTTTCTACGCAATCGTTCCGTCCCAATATATCGTGCGTGCTGAGTTGCTAATTTTTTTTCACTAACAATTCGAAATTTTACATAGTTCTTTAAAAAATGAAAGAGGACTTTTTCAGTTATTTTAATCCGTTCTATTTTTATACGATTCCTCGGTACCTTACCTTACGCGGAACACCCTGTATATTGTATCAATTGAAAAATTGTTTTATTTTGCTATTTGTTGATATGAGAATTGTATGAGAGAAAAAGAACATACAAATTGTGTGATCGATCTAGTGTAATGTAATTCATCCACCATCGCAATGCACATTTTCATGCTAAAGAGAAATTTTTGTTACAGTTTCCTGGACACAAAGAAAAATGTGGCGGAAACGGCGAGTGTCCCGAAAATATTGGATTTGGCAAAAATATCAAACTATACGATGGTCGATGACTTGCTGTGTCCGCCAGGTCGTCAGAACCGACCACCAAAGATAGCAATTATTCTTAGGGGCCCACCTGGCAGTGGCAAATCTTTTGTTACTAAACTTATCAAGGTAATGTGTAAGAGATTATAGTCAGTTAATTATTAATTTACATTCAAATCACTTTGAGTAATTTTATTTGAGCAATTAGCAATATTAATTAGCTAATTAGCAATATTAGCTAGCTCACATGCACATGCGTCTTATTTTATAAAAAAAATAAATCAGAAGTGCAAAAATCTGAAAAATATTCTTTTGATTTGATTATATTTAACCTGATTTCTATGTTTTAGAAAAAATCTTCAAGCTTGTTTGTTATAATTTTTCTTGCATAATTTAACTAATTGATTATAATTTTTTTACTTTGTAGGATAAAGAAATTGAACAAGGAGGTTCTGCACCTAGAATATTAAGCTTGGATGATTATTTCCTCGTGGAGAAAGAGGTAGAAACAAAAGATGATAATGGGAAAAAGGTGACGGTTAAGGTAATTATATTCAAAATTCTGCACTAGCGGATTTATTATATTAAGTATTCTCTTTTAACAGATTAGTATTTTAACATTGTATATTGATCACAACAGGAAATGATCTATGAATACGAGGAGGCAATGGAACAAAGTTATTTAACATCGCTCGTTAAAGCATTCAAGAAAAACGTCACCGACGGATTTTTCAATTTCATCATATTGGATTGTATTAACGAGAGAATTGCGGATTACGAGGAAATGTGGAGTTTCGCTAAGACAAAAGGTTTCAAGGTATGTTACCATTTAATATAATATACGCGAAATGCCTCGCAAACGAATTCCAAAGAATATTTTTTTATGATTATAGATTTTTGAAACGATCTTTTAGCTTGAGAGAGTCTTATTTATATATTTATATTTTTATATCTATATTTGACAAAAATATTTAACCAATTAATCCTTTTGCTAGGAAAGTTCTCCGTAGCGATAATTCGCATACCTATTTTCATGTATACTCTCAATATAGTTTGAACATTTTTTCTTAATGTAGTTTAGAATAAAGTCGATGTACAATGGGAAAAATAAATAAATCTATCAATGCAAAAATATCTATTTCGAATTACACCGCGTTGAACTTGTTTTATCAACGCAAAGTAGGTATAGCAGCTCTTGTGTGTATTTGAAGAATTTCTTGAATACAATAAAAAATTTCCGAAACTTAGTAATTGCTATAACGACTTACATTATCACGTGCTAAAATACTCAGATTAGAGATACTTAGTGCATTTCAGGTATCAAAATTACTTAGTGATGAAAAAATGAAAAGTATTATGCATCAGTAAAACAGTTAATAATTCTTAAAAAATAAGTTTTAGTCAGGGATCCGGACCGAAACAAAATTTCAGTCCGGTTACGGTTACGGTCCAACAAGATATTTCGTTCTCAATTTCGGTTTAGATCCAGTTAGGCATAACGGGATCTGGAACCATTTAAAATGACGGTTTTTCGGTTTCGGTTTTCTAAAAATTATTTTATTATATAAATATTTATTTTTTGTAAATTACAATATTACAATATGTAATATATAAACGAATTTTTTTCACGAAAATATTTAAGCGGCGTCATTTTTTATCAATTTTAATCACCGTTAATGGTTTTGATTTGATGTACTTGCTTCCTTTGTTTTTGAGATTTTTGTGGCAACGTTGTAGCTATCCAACGGCCGTTTTGCTTGTTTTATTTTCTGAGATTGTGATCACAAAATATGAAATTATCTATTTTTATTTTATCCTTATAATTCATATAATCAAAAAAGCTGCGCAATGCCGTTTTACACTGTACGACACCAATGACTATCGGAACCATAGTAACGGAATAGAGATCCTGAACATAACTATTGTAATACGTTGATCGTGGTGTGAATTTTCTAATAAATAATCGGTGACAGCGACACATGAGGTGTCGTAGAAACCAAAAATATTTTTATTGGTCCGGTATCGGTTTCGGTCTATTTGATACTATAAAATTTCGGTACGGTTATGATTACAGTTTGAGCATAAAAATCGGTTTCGAAACGGTTATCGGTTTCGGTACCGGTCCGGTCTGGATCCCTGGTTTTAGTGGACATCGGTTGCGTTCTAAATTGCCTCGAGAAATATTCAAACTATATTGAAACTATATTGAAACCGAATATATATTATGTTGCATATGTTATTATTAACACTCATTATTGATAATAACTGCATGTTAATCCTAGTTATTTGTACAGGGTGTCCCATTTAACTTGAGACATCGAAATAACTCGAAAACAAAAAAGAAAAACAAAAATCGCTGAAACACGTATCGAATGAATTCCGAGGACGAGTAAAATGGCATGATTCCTTTTTTTCCTTTCTTTTCTTTTTTCATTTGGTGGACGTCCTCAAGGTGATTTTAAGGTCAACTTTGTTATTTCAAACGAAAACCTATATTTTTTATGACGGAAGCATATTCTACGTAAAAAAACAATTAACTTTTGTCCGAAAAATTTTTTTATTTGATTATTACTAAAATAGATATCGCACGAAGTAATTCCGATTTTTATTCAAAACGAATAAAATAAACGTATCACAATAAATGCTCAAAATGATGGCTTTCTATTTCCAAACACTCGTTAATGCGATTAATAAAAAATCAATGCACTGATAATAAAGTCTCTGGACGGATATCGTGACAGGCATTTCGGATTCGCTCTTTCATGTTTTCTGGTTTAGTTGGTCGATCGTGGTAAACTTTTTCTTTAAAGTGGCCCCATAAATAAAAATCTAACGGTGTTAAATCAGGCGACTTCGCCGGCCAGTTAACTAGACCTCCCCGACCTATCCAACGACCAGGATATTTCTGATTCATTGTTTGGCGTGCATAACGCGAATAGTGAGCTGGGCATCCGTCTTGCTGAAACCACATATTTCTTCTCTGCTAGGCTTACTTCTTCGAATAGTACGGATAGTAGTAATTCTACATCCAAGAAGTTTCCATATTTCACTTCATTCAGTGTACCATTGATGAAAAAAGAACCTATTATATTATCGTCAATGATTCCACACCAAACATTGACAGATCATGGACGTTGATGTTCTACTTCGCGAAGCCATCTTGAACTTTCATCTGATCGATAATGCATATTATGCCGATTAACTTCTCCATTATTGGTAAAAGTAGATTCATCAGAAAATAAGACCGAAATAATCAAAACATCTCAGCGGCGCGATCGCGCTTCTTTTATTTAGTATAAACACGAGATACGGAATACTTGTAAACATGAGATTTTCATATGATTGCAATTTTCTGATGAATCTACTTTTACCAATAATGGAGAAATTAATCGGTATAATATGCATTATTGGTCAGATCAAAATGTTTGGAAATAGAAGGCGTCGTTTTGAGCATTTATTGTGATATGTTTATTTTATTCGTTTTTGATAAAAATCAGAATTATTTCGTGCGATATCTCCAAAAGTAATGATCAAATAAAAAATTTTTTCGGACAAAAGTTAATTGTTTTTTTACGTAGAATATGCTTCCGTCATAAAAAATATAGGTTTTCGTTTGAAATAACAAAGTTGACCTTAAAATTACCTTGAGGACGTCCACCAAATGAAAAAGGAAAAGAAAGGAAAGAAAGGAATCATGCCATTTTATTTGTTCTCGGAATTCGTTCGACACGTGTTTAAGCGATTTTTGTTTTTCTTCTTTGTTTTCGAGTTATTTCGATGTCACAAGTTAAATGGGACGCCCTGTATAATGGCAGAATAACCTCGATATACAACGTAAATACAATGTAGGTTATTGAGATTTTCGAACTGTATACAAATTATTATTAGAAGTACAAATAAGTTTCCGCCGTTTGACAAAAGATGGTCCCATCAGAAGGTTATGTTGAAATTGTCAGATGTAAAACGTGATATCGTAAGTTTGGACATCTGGTAACAACATAACCTTGAAGTATTAGTGACTCCGTATCAGCATCACATAATTTTTTTCGTGCGAAAATGTCAAGTTTTGTGCCGAATAAGCGTCATTTGCAGGAACTTTTGATTTACTTCTTTAATTTGAAAAAATCTGCAGCTGAGGCGCATCGATTGCTTGTAGAAGCATATGGTGAGAAGACTGCTTTAAATTCACCAAGTTGTCGTGAGTGGTTTCAAAAGTTTAAAAACGGTGAGTTTGACGTGGAAGACAAAGAACGTAGTGGAAGGCCGAAAGTGTACGAAGACACGGAATTGGAAGCATTATTGGAGGAAGATTCGTACCAAACGCAAGAAGAACTTGCACTTACATTAGAAGTGACTCAACAAGCAATTTCACATCGTTTAAAATTGTTGGGAATGATTAAAAAACAAAGAAATTGGGTTCCATATGAACTGAAGCCGAGAGACGTTGAACGCCGATTTTGCACGTGTGAAATGCTGCTTGCCAGGCATAAAAGAAAGGGTTTTTTGCATCGTATAGTCACTGGTGATGAAAAATGGATCCACTACGATAACCCAAAGAAGAGAAAATCATGGGGACCACCAGGCCATGCTTCAACATCGACAGCCAAACCGAATATTCATGGAAAAAAACTCATGCTGTGTATTTGGTGGGATCAGCTTGGTGTCGTGTATTATGAGTTGCTCAAACCGAGCGAAACCATTACTGGAGCTCTCTACCGAACACAATTAATGAGATTGAGCCGAGCACTCAAGGAAAAACGCGCCCATTACTACTCCAGACACGATAAAATTATTCTCCTACATGACAACGCTCGGCCACATGTTGCAAAACCGGTCAAAACCTATTTGGAAACACTTAATTGGGAAGTCCTACCCCACCCGCCGTATTCACCAGACATTGCCCCTTCCGATTATCACTTATTCCGGTCGATGGCACATGGCCTGTCTAAGCAGCGCTTTACATCATATGAAGATACTAAAAATTGGGTCGATTCGTGGATAGCCTCAAAAGATGAAGAGTTCTTCCGACGTGGTATCCGAATGCTGCCAGAAAGATGGGAAAAAGTAGTGGCTAGTGATGGACAATACTTTGAATAAAACTTAATGTACCATTCTTTCACAATAAATTCCTAATTTTTGATAGAAAACGGCGGAAACTTATTTGTACTCCTAATAATTATTTCAGCGCCTAATGTCAAGATACGTACACTCAGAGGCAGGTATGGTATCTCTCGGCGATGTCATACGTCTGTAAAACAAGCGATGACAGGCATATACGCATACGCATATGGGCGTATTGTATAGCATGAGAGAAGCGAAGAAGGAGAAGTGGTGGGAAACGTTCCGATGTTGCATCCTTATCGCACGTCACACGATCAAGAGAGAAAGCATTACCAGACGTGGTACGGTTAATGGGTCTCCAATAGCTGTCTCACTCAGTCTACGCTTGAATGCAGGGAATATGAGTGAGACAGCTATAAAGACATCGCGCTGTCTCTATAGGTGTCTTGCTCGCTCTAATAGCTATGTATCGCGCTTTTCTCTTTTCTCCTTAGCAGAAATGCCGATTAAGTAGGGAATCCTATCTGTAGGCCAGAAAAATAAGCTATTTTCACGAATTTTTTTTCGGAAATTAAGCAGACGATTGATTTCAAACTTGATAGAAATAATAATATATATTTTACTGATAAGAATGAATTTTTATAGCGTTATATGAATAATAATGTAGCAAATACAAAAAAATAACGTGACATGTTTAAGTGCGCGCCGTTTCACGGTTCTTATAAAATCTCGAAATACGGTGGACTGGGACAAAAA